CCCCCCCGGGCGCTCTGCTTCCACCCCTTGCGTCGGTGTAGAAATCGCGCATCGGCGGAATTCTCTCCGGTCCCGCTCACTCCCCTGTGCTGTTCGATTCCGTAACAGTAGATGGCGGCAGCGAACGAATAGGGGCCCCCTCCTTCGAATTGGGTGCCCCTCCTTCTTTTCTCTCGTGCGACTCTGCATCTGCTTGCAGACTAGCTTCCCCGCTCCTGCACGCCTTGCACGCCCTGCACGCATCGCACACGCACCCCGAGGGCAAGCGATGCCGACTCTGTTCCGAACTCTCTTGCTTGCATCTCGGGCGTCTCGCCGGATGTTGACGTGATCGAGTGCAGCGTGTCGGCCCAACTTGCTCGTCCCCGTCGGCACCGAAGGGCTGAATCAGGGCCAGCGTCTCTTGTTGCGTGTCTCGGTGGTGGTGGTCGTCGTCGTGGGCGCGAGACAATCCCGCGTGGCGAGGAGAGCTGGGTGCACTCGTCGAGAAAGACTGACGCCATCGGCGCGTCGTAGCCGAAATCCACTCGTCGGCTGTCGGTCTTGTCCGAGACCGGTGCCCAAACCTGCCTCCGAGCCGAAGAGGCAGGAAAAGGTGCAAAAAAAGTGACGTCTAAATCTGGCTCGCAAATTTCGCAGCAAATCACCGAGCCGGATCAGGCGACTGGTCATTAGCATCGGCGATAGCGATGCTGTTTGATCCGCTACGAGCATCCTGTGCACACATCTCGGCATGCTCGACAGTCCGAGCGCTGCATGCTGGACACGGCATGCGAATGTTCGGCCAGAACACGAACTCGGATCAGGCGTGGCATGAACAAACCAGTTTGTCGGTGGTGTTTGGCATGGATTCACTCGTGCACATGCACCTTCTCGCCCCGCTGCGCGCTGCTCGCAAGTATCACCGTTCGAAAGCGTCTGAAAGCCCCCGAGAAGCGAGATCGCAAGCACAAGGTCAGGCAAGTCGCTCGAAGAAGGCACTGGCGAGTTGCATGGCATGGCATGGCATCGCGTCGCTTGCTCGAGCTTGCCGAAGGTGATGTCTGTTTTAACATCACACAAACATCGGCTCGCACCTGCATATCTCCTTCGCTCCGCCTCGCTTGACAATTCGAGCACAAATTCGCCCGCATCGCAGCGCGGGCTCCGATCTGCATTGCTGCATGCGATGCTCGCACGGCGCGTCCGCAGCATCACCATGCACAGCAAGTACACGCGGGGACGACTGCGGCTGGCGCCAAATGGCCGCAGCCCGCACGTGCACCCATGATCTACATCGCTGCAGCTTTGAGAGATGTCACATCTGCATCCGATCCGAGATGGTGTGCAGATGGCGAGGCGAAAGAGGCATCGGTCGCTGCATCCAAGCTGGGCTTTCCCATGCAAGAGCGAAAGAAAGGCCGTCCGGGTCCAGGCGCCCCACACAGCCTAACGGCATTCCTGCCCAGAGGCATGCGAGACGGCTTTGTTTTGACAGGCCTCGTGTTTGAAACGAAACAGATTCGAACCACAAGCCCAGGCGCGGCCACAGTGAACCGCGACGGACTCCGCAAGACACACTAGGCAAGACGTGTGTTTGCAGGAAAAAGCCAAGCGAGCATGGTCGACTGCGGCAGCCTTGCCGAACGGGCTGGCGGTGTGATTCGAGCCCAGACGGCCAATCGGAGTCTGAAGGTCTTCTTTTTTTTTTTTGCTACGCCGACGACGACGCAGGGGTGACAGGGCCGTGCGGAAGCCCTTCCGCAACCGCTTTCCCTTGTGCGGTCGGGGGTGGAAAAGAAGTGCGCGAATAGAGGGTGCATGAGAATATTCCACTCGAGCAAAGGCAACAGGGTCTGGATCTTTGTCTCGCACGCGTTGGCTGCGCCCATGCACTACATCACGCCGACGCTAAAGTCACACCCCGCTGCTGGCCATGCTGCCAATGGCGCTTCGTCTGCCCACCGCCACACGTCGGCTTCGACGCCGCAGTGGCGAGTGCGATCAGCCCGCCTGGCTCGCATCGCGTCCATGCGAGCCTCGACGGCTTGTTTGCTAGGGTCGGCCTCACTACGCCAAGGCGCACATCACTGCAATCCTCGATCTCGTCCTACCTGCCGAACGGGTTCTCCGGCTCGCCGTCAAAGCAGATCGCTGACTCATAGCGGTGCAAATGGTGCGATCAGCCTAATCTAGCAGGTGCACCCCTGATCTACAGTAGCATGGCTGAATAAAGCGTTGCTGTGCAGATTCGCCGACAGCCAGCATCGGCCAACCGCGCGTGGATCTTCACAACCTCGTCCATTCATGCCGCCAATCTCACCCATCTTTGAGCTTGCTGGCGAGGCGATTCTTGCGGCTCCTACCCCGCCACCCAATGAGCACGACAAGCTCAAATCGTACGAAATCAGCCTACCTCTGCATATCCGTGATCCGCATCTTTCGAATAGGAGTCCGAGCCAGCTTGGCCGCTGCGTTGAATGCAGGGTCTGCATGGTTAGCGTGGGTGACGGCCTGACCTTTCGAATCAAGGTCGCATATTCCGCTGCATTCACTCGGAATTCGACGTCCAACATGGCACACAGACAATAGCCTCTCTCGATCCGAGCATGACCTGAGCTGAACCTGTTGATGTGGACGTCGACTCCCGTTTATCGGGTTAGCATGGCATGCTCCAGTATTTCTGGGCAGTGCTCCGGCTGACGAGGGATGCAGACGCCATTTGGTTCGCCCGTGTGAGCGGAGGCGTCAAACGCCTCGGGCGCTGCGTACCGTTGGCGTGCCAGCTACGTGGGCCCTTACAGCACCGTCGGACAAACAGCGACAACCATGGTACGCCCTTGCCAACGAAGCCAAAGGTCGGGCGGGGTGGGTAGCCTGGTGCACCCTTCCAACACGCCAGCTGCAATGCTCCGGCGCATCCGGGTCGTGCAAGCCAGCGAGTCGATGGCCGACCCAGCCATGACGGTGCGGGAATGTTGCAGCTCATTGCCAATGCGGCGTTCTGAGATGCCAGCTAGCGTGGCTGTCAAGCCATCGCACGGCCTACGCTTCGTACCCGCAACGTTTCAAGGGTACTGCCCGGGCCAGGAACGCCAGCAAAAGTACCGCACCACAAGCCATCGTGATCCCATTCAGTCCAAGGCTGTGCTCGTCCTGTCAGCGTCCCGAGCATGGACGTAGCGGCAAGCTGAATGCGCGAGGGTGCAAGGGTTCAAAGTGGGCCTCTGGCGGTTCTCGTAAAATCACATCGACGAGTGACAGCGGCGTGATGCATGAAAAAAGACAGAGTCAGATGCGCGCTTTGCCCGTGACAGAGGTTGTCCAGCTGCGGTCGCCGGCATGGTGCATCGGCCACCACCTCCATTGAGCGACCACAGCACAACCCGCATGCCTTGTTCCGGATTCCGGATGCCTCAACTGAGGGGTAAAGGCAAGTCAGCGTGCCGTCCGGGAAGAAGGCCGCACGAGTGTGTGATTTCAGCAAGGGAAAAAGTGCAAGGGCGGCGTTCGGCGCGCGCAAAGGTGCAGAATAAACTTCGCTTGCGGTGTTTCGCCCGCCCATCATGCCTTGACGGCGGCGAATTGGCGTCCAGCTCTGCACAGCCCTGATTCGGTGCAGCCCGACTGGCAGTGTCAACACGACCCTGCCTCGGCTTGGCTCGACGTGTTGCAAGAACGTCTCGCAGTTCCGACTGACTTCGAAGCTGAGCAAGATCCAGATTGGATCTGACCTTGAATCCCGGCCTCGGCGTGTTCGAGAACATTACCACTGCACTTTGTCGGGGGTTCAGGGTCGGAGGTGATCAGCATGCGACTGGTGCTTCATCGCCGAGGCTCCGAGAAAAAGATGAGAGTGGGCACAGCTCGAGCGACATGCGATGTGTCATGAGGCTGTTGCGCGGGTGCACTGAACTTACCCAATATCGCATTCTATCGCACACGTCGACAGTGTCATCGCAACCAGCTGAACGAACGGCTTGGGCTCATCAGACTTCACCGAGGGCCAACGTTGTTGCAGGAATGACACATCGCTTCTGATCATGTTGGAAATGTCTTCTGGACATGGAGAGTCCGATCATCCCTTTCTTAGCTGCCTGGTGTCACGTCCTTGCCAGGATGGTAAGAACAAAAGAGCCGTTCGTCTCATCTTTTGTGGACGCTTTGCTTGAGACTCGATAGAGTGCTGCGGCATTGAGATCGCCTTGCGGCCGAGATTGCTGCGGCAACCTGTACGTCAGGCTGATCCATAGTCGGCGTCTACACTGATTTGTCGCGCGAGACCTTCCTTTGTACAGCCTCCTTGCTCCCGGGGCACCGACCACACGATGCTGCGAGCAAAGGTCTTCGGTGCCTCGAAGCTCGGTCCTCATCTTCCCACGCTTTGTGCTAGCGTCGTTTGTCGACACGCGTGCAAACAAACGGGTGAATCTGGATGTGCAAAAGATGAGCTCATTGTTCTTTCTCACGAACCAGGGTGTGTAGGCTCGACACACAAAGGCAGGGCGGCTTGAAGCGCTCAGGGCAGCGCAAGCAGGTCCGAACTCTGTACCACAAAGGACAGGGACCCTGACCCAGGATGTTGATGTCATAGCGTTTGCCAATATTGCCAGCGCTCACCTGAAACGACGTGGACTGATGTTGAGACCCAGACGTTACCGGTGTCAAGCACACGGATCGCAACATTCCCGGTGGGAGAGGTCAAAGCATCTCGGGTGTGGCGTCGACCAGGTCCGTAAGGTCCGGACTAGTGGCGCGGCCAAGACAGCCCAGGCCAAAGCGCAAGGCCCGTGAGCGACCGTAGCGTCATCCAGGTCGTTTCTGTACAAAGGACTAGCGCTTTGTTGATGAATGAAAGCACGAGGTCATCGTCTCGTTTCGTCCCTTTGTGTCGTCAGGACGACAGCACGGTCCCCGTGGGAAAATTGCCGCGCTGTTCGCTGCCTTCTCGCGCCGACTTCATATCGGCCTTTGCCAGCGATACTCATAGCTGCTTGGCCGACGTCAACGGCACATTCTGCGGCGGATTCGACCGTGCTTGGGACTCAGCATGGTCCCGTGGTCCCCAAGCAGTCAGGACCAGAAACGCGGACAGTGGCATGGGCCGCAGGGACGAACATAGCCGCGGCTCCAAAGGCATATTTCGGCCGGAACAGGATCACTCGCTGTGCTGCTGTGCTGCTTTGGACTCAGAAGCCTCCTACCGCCGCAAAGCACACCTCAGCATCGCAATGTCGACACGGACGCCGCGTCTCTGGCTGACAGACATCTGCTGATTAGATTCTCTTCACTTACTACGGTTTACATCTGCGGCCATAGAACC